TATCCGTAAGTCGAGACTTAGCCAGATTGTCCGATTGGTGTGTCGAGTTGGCTGGCCTAAGGTCAGCGGTATCTCCAGAACGCCCTGCTGCACGTAGCCCCATCAAGCCGGTCGCCAGGTGGCTTGAGTGGCAAACTTTCTCTCTCACCGCAGTTTGTCTCTGTCAACCACTGAATATCCTCGCCACCAAAAGGTGGTCACAAAAGAGCCAATTACTTCTAGGCCTACTCACCTCCCTATCCGCTCCGAGCGGAACAAAAGAGGGCGTGTTTTTTTGCACTTACCGCACAGGCGGGCGTTTATAACGGAGACGAAAGGCGCGTTTGACGCGGAGCACGCTTAGTACGCGTAACGAATTTTTTACTTAATATGTGTGGTCTCTGCGTACACGCAGAAGGCGTGCAAGAACCCGCTTGGAAAACTTACCACGATCTGTCTTTCTTTTGCCGTTTGGGGGCACACTTCAACTCGGGGCGGATAGGGCGCTGGAATGGGCCCAATTCCTCGGGCTGCACGGAGAATTTTTTTTTTATTTGATTGATAAAATTTGACCGAATTAATGTGCACTACTCAACGCACGTCGGTACTTCCCTCAAAAAATTTGTGATGGATATTAGCCATTCCAAGTGCCCTTTAGGGACTAGCTAGGGATCAGAAGCCACCCCTCGCAGTGCATGGGGGAAGGGGTTGGTGTGCGCGCTCATGCCTTTTGAACAACAAAAAACTTTGCATGCTGAGGAGTTGGTGTTTAGAATGATTGATGTGTTCAAGCGGCTCCTGGATGTATTTGTGGTATAGAGCAGTCGAAGAAAGGAAGATGGAAAATGGCTTCTCGTAAACTTAATTTTCAAACGCACTTCGGCGGAATGATTGGTGTTGTGACTCGCTCCTTTGAAAAAAAAAATTCACAAACTATCTTCGGACATTTTTGGATTGAAAACTGCCTCATTGGTGGACTATTTGTACAGCGATGCTGTACACCGTTGGCTCAGGAACGCTCAAGCTATACCTAACAGTAGCTGATTGGATTGTCTGCTTATTAAACCAATTTCATGGCACGAGGGACCCTCGTAAAAAAGGACGAATGTTAATACCTGTGTTTTCGTTATTCCCCGCAAAAACTCGCCAGAAATCCGATGAGCGTAATTTTCCAGCCGAATCCCGAGATATACAAGCGACACTGTGAATGACCCGATGTTATTTAGCATTTTAGAATTTTTTTTTCATTTACCGTGCTAAAGAACATGGGTGTTTATAGCCGCGAAGCGAGTTGCTAACGACTGGCTTCCCGGTCAGTGATCCATAAACTCGGCGCAGATTTATCTGTGGTGCCCGCCAGCAAATTACATTTTTCACCAGCGGCTAATTCGGTTCTCCCACCGTGATTTCTCGGTCTAACAGGAACAAAAGGACGTGACTGTCACTGCTGTATCGGCAACTCTTCAGAAAAGCATCTTTTATTTGAGTTGGCTCCAGTTTTCGTTTACATTTGTAATCATTCTTGGTTTATTAGCGTATAAATATTTAAAAGCGTAGTGGTTGCAAATTATTTTTTTCTTGTCAACAAACCCGGACGTCCAATATTAAATAAATCCAAACATCAACACCAGCAAAATCTTAAATAAATAGTACTTTGGACTGGACGAAAGCTGCCCTACACATAATCCACGGTTCATTTGTGGCTAGATCACTTTTATTAGACTGTATACAGGCATAACTTTCTGCTACACTCTTTGCCTCGCTCTGCAGTCGGTGTGTAACGGCAGCAACCGAGTTCAAGTTAAATGACATTCGAAAATGTCCGAATATGGAATGAATAATCGTCAACGACAACATCTTTACTGATCGAATGAGGGCCTTTTGCGTTGGAAAGTGAGATAACAAAGCCAAGCTCGAAACCGTCGTGTCATCGTTAAATTCGCGGTGTTCTCAATTACTGGCTACTTCGAGTAGGACGACTACATAGGACGAGTGACAGCCTGTCATGGGGGGGGGACTAGGGGAAAGGGGTGTCTCAGGCATGCAGTGACTAATAAGACTCCCTGAGGCCACCCCTCGTGTAGAATATGCCTCATCTCTCCTTCCTCTCCGGACGGCACAATAACACAGCAACGAAAAGACAAACTTCACCCATGTTCCTGTTGCCGAGGGGCACTTACGCATAGCGTGTCTGGTATCACAAACCAGAAAGGCGGCACACGTACTCCATTCTCAACGAGAACAAAAGCAAACGAGAGACTTATTTTCTGAGATAATGAAATCACAATGGTATTTCCTTTTCTGCTTTCAATTGTTCCTAAGAAGTCATCGAACGCTCCTTTACGGGAATTCGTAGGTTACAGTTGCAATCATGATCAGCAATGATCACGACACTATTGCTTGATTGAAATAAAACGTTGATGACTGGTAAATCTGGACGTTTTCACAAACGGGTCAAAAATTCATCTGAATACATGATTTCAACGCAGAGGTTAGGGCCCCTTGGCTTAGCGAAAATTAAACATGGCGGTTCGGTAACGATATTTGACGCTATATGACTATTGCCGTATCTTTATTTCCGACAATCATTTTAAAGCGAAGTTCTTCTCCGTCTCTCCACCTTCGCTGCACTTTGAATGACGCTAATTGCACGAAACAGTCTGTCATTCCGGTTTCAAGATTAGGCTGCATAGTCTTGAGGTGACCAAAAACCATCTTCCGTCTTTCTTATCGCAACTTGAAATATGCACCCCTCCCAGAATTTGTGTTGACCGAGTGATTTTTATTCATTTCGCAGGTATGCCCGGGTAAATGTAGGCCTAACATTTAACACTCACAAATCACGCATAACAATTTTTTTCTGTCAGTTCTCAACTTCCCTTCTCAATGGGTGAAGTTGGGGAAGCTATTAGACATCAGTGAGCTATTCCGGTCCCAAAAATCCACTCTTCCGGTAAAGCTCAGGCTTCGGTAAGTTGTGCTATCTTCATCCATTATCCCTATGACTATAACTTCACGCAAAAGCCAGTGGAAAATTTGGGGGGGATATTATGTCCCTGTAATGAGTGCCGCTGGGGAATAGCCCCCGGCTTATTTTTGCCGAAATCATCGCTGAAAAGAAAATTGAATTCATGGTCTGTTGGCAAAATAAAAAAAAGTCAGGTATGGTCGGGCTGGGGAATCAGACAACAGCACATGTACACTCGTTTTACGTGCCAGTCAGTCAGCAACTTTCATGTGGCACCCCTCCATTCAAAATGGTCTAGCGACGCCCGTGAATTTATACCACATAGGAAAAGATGTTCATTCGTAGATGACAGTGTAGAATGCGGGTTACCATAAAACTCCGTGGTGGTTGGGTTAAACCGTTGTCCATTGCCAGACCATAAATGCTTCGGTGTGCACATCGGGTTTCCGAAAAATTGGCATAATTATGTGCATAACGGAGATCTGAACGAGGCGGAGACCGCAGCCAGTAAAAAAGATCAAGCTGAAGATCTGGCTTTTTTCGAGATGCATTGTAATTTACAGTCATGCTTTGTTTAATTCCGGTATTTTGAATGGGTTGTCAGCTAGTTGATTATTAAATAATTTATCTGTGAATACTCGCGCATGCTCCCCTGTAGACCCCCTGAAGCGGCGGCCATTGCAGAGGTTCATTTTGTTGTTTGAATCTATGCCTTTCTCACTGAGGACCAAAGGGTAGCCCACAGATGTGACGTCAAGTGTAAGGCCTCCATCACGAGGGGGGGGGGTTGTACCTGCCTTTTTAGTTTGGCAATCGTGCGAGATGTTGACGTAAAGCTACCCCCGTAAATAGCCCCAATGAAAAGACTTGACATTTGAGGTTAATGATTTCTTTGCGCGGGTATTCACCTCCGTGTAAAAGTCGTGTTGGGGAGGGGAAACGTCTGGCACGGAGGAAGGACAGCATCCATCATAGTGATATTATTAGGTCACCCGGGATGCCGACAGGGTGCCAGACGGCTGGCTTGTCTGACGAGCTGTTAATTTGCATTGTCTAAAGACTGTGAGCTTATTTAAAACGGCCTTTTCTCTGGCAGTAATTATAAGGACTTCAACAAGAGGGGGAATCGGCGATTTGGTACAGATTGGTGTATACGGTCTTGCGCGCATGCGTTGTGTAAGATGTCGATGTCTGCGCGTGTGGCAGCCATTCCTATTCCGTGCAAAAAGTGGTTCCCGTTTCAAGGCCAGCCGATTTCAATAATGTGGTCAATTTCTCTGTCGTTCCGATTAGGATTTAAAAACCACAGAGTTTGCACAGAAGGGGCTCAAAACTGCACAGTGCGGTTTCCAAGTTGATGTGAGGAAAGTTCAGGAAGGATGTACGTAGTTAATCGACAGAGCACCACACTGACGAAGTAATGAATACTATACTGCACTATAAGGAATGTTGCGAGAGAACTCGATGATTTGAGACAAGCCAAAAAGTAAATCCAAGCGGAATCTGTTTCTGTTTATTATACTTCTTCTGTATTTTTCATCTTTACATTTTCCATAAAGGTGGGGTGGTATAAGAGAATCTTTCGACAGATTTAGGTACCATGAATTTAATACCCCTGGAATAGGTCACAAATTCAAAAGGTTTCTGGTGGCTTGATTTGGCTGGGTAAATTTTGGTATTAAGTTACATGTTCTAATAAAGAAATATATGGATCGATAATTAACGCTTTGCAGACAGCCTGCGATTAACATGCATCTGAAACTCATCACTGGCGGCATCTGGCCACTGCTCGAGAGTTTCAGAAAAGAAACGCATCAAATTATACTTTGTACTGTTTCTTTGTGAAGAAAAATACTGTTTCTATGTTCACGGGTTTACCTATTGAAAATATCGCGGTCAATGTCGGTCTGAAACGCACAAGGTTTACTAGAAATCGAGTTGATAAAATGGATCTGGGTGCCGGGATGTCACGGTCAGTTCGGTTGGTCATGGGCCAGTGGGTGTCACCTGGTTCCAGCGCAAAGAGCCCATATGATATACCAGTCGTTCTTACCCCTTTTCAGCAGGTTGACCCTCTGCGCCGTGTTCTGGATGCTGCAGTTCCAGCGCTCGTTCCGGAAGCGTTCCTGACACTCCGAGATGCTCAGCTCCAGCGCGTCCCGCAGGACGGCGGCCATGCCCGAGTCCCGGCCGCACATCTTCCGTTGCCGCTTGGTGAGGTGATGGGAGCACTGGTCAAATCCACGCATCCCAGCCAGTTGCGTGTTTGAGGTGAGTCTGTCAAGAGATAATCACGCCCTTATCAGTCTAGTAGCTGTAGTCGAAATTATTTTTTTCTTAAAATATTAAAAATAGAATAGCCTATTGACATTTCTTTTTAGCAATAGCATGTGACAACTTTTGCCTCCAAAGAGCGAAGGCCAGTTTAAGTATGTCCAACATGTTGTGAAAAATTCAATGTATTTCCTAGGTAAAATGGTTAACACTAACTGCCAGAGCATATATGGGTCTATATTACTAAGTGTGACGGGTCCCACGGAAGTTTTTACTTAGCACACAAATTGGTAACTTCTTATTGGAGTCAGCCCTGCCTTGCCAACATAACATAGAACATGTGGTTTTATGAGGTATTAAAGTTGGGATTTTTCCCGTGCATTTCTCTCATGGTATTTTAGCGGAAGTGTTCCTTATTTCCATTCTTATCGCAATTTTGCCCGGGAAGCCAGTGGCAAGTGCAATCCGCGTAATTATTAATCATAGAAATCGAAAAAGAACGAACTATATTCTCTAAAGAAATTGCCGTTATTTCGCAACTTTAGAGCTTAGCAGTTAAATTCTGATTTAACTATAATGCACTCATCAAAAGTAACAATGTCTCTGAGTAACTTCTGATAGCTTGAGACTTAAGTCACAAATGTTCTTTGGTGGGAGTCGAACCCACGACCTCGAAATTCATTCTGTACAGTCAACCAATTGCCAAGCGTAATTCCTCATTTTGAATGGCGGTCTGAATCCCGTACTGAATCAGAAAATATACAGGTTGCTCCTTGTTCCAGAGTTATTCCGATGGAACAAACAAAATCCCAACAAATTTAACTGAAGAAAATCGGAAACTAATGCTGGAAACGAACATGAGCAAACATAAAGTACCGTACCACGCACGACGTCGTATTCTCTCAACTAAACACAAACAAAACTTGAAATTTTATTTCATGTCGTTCCTCCTTTGATATGTCAAAGACTGAGTCATTTTGAAGGCTACTTGCGTCAGAACACCTCCTAACCGCCAAGGTGCACACACGGAGCCCCGGAAATGATGCACGCAGCAGCGCTGACTAGGTCGGGCACCCCCTCAACTCAGCTGCGGCAAGCGATGAATGGACTTCCGGGAAGATGTGACCGGCATGGCCTTAACGCGCCCGCAGTAGTCCCGCGCTCGCCCCTCTTTCGACCCGGTCTTGATGTACGCATGGGTCCAGGCAGCCCGATTCTTCCAAGGGATGGAATAAAAATGTTCAAGTTGGCCCGTGAATTACATTTTGTTGAAGAACCCCACGAATAATAAACTCGTGCGTTTACCCTCACTACAAACAGCGAGTCAAAAATATTAAGTTCCTCTCTCCATCCCAATCCTCAAACTGGACGCCATAAGAACTGGACACTACGTTCGACAAAAATCGATGCACTGCACCTTTCGGGGCAACTATCATGATCAAGGTCAGAATGTTGCCGCGAACTGTCAACAAATGAGTCAAACGGATAACCCAATTAGGGAGAGCACGCTTGCCAAGTTCACTACCCTTTGCCTCATGGAGTCTACTGTGATAACCCAATGTGCCGAGGATTCCTGGCAAGTGTCACCTTTAAGTGCGTGCCCGATATCTTGATACAAGTGCCCGTATTTCGAAATGTAATCCTTTTGCCTTCGTTTCGTAAATTTGGCCGGATGAAGGGGGAAAGGGACCCCCTTCATCCCCAGTGCGTACTCTATCGTCGATGATACGATGGGTGGGGGGAGGGCCTAGGAAGTTATGTCTTGATTGATGGCTTAATTTTCAAGTCACATAGTTGCTTTGTGCGTGACTTTCACCGAAATAATCTTGTCAGATTGTTGCACATGCAGAGAGAAAAACACCATGCTGACAATGCTTAAAGCGTCTAATTTGGGCATCATGTTGGGGGATAAAACTGCTTCGGACAAGACAGATTGTCAGACTGACAAGAAAGCACAGCCGATCTTTTCAGTTAATCCACATAGAGTGAAGCCCTGTCGGTCCAGGTACACTTGCAACTCCTGTTAGTTCTTGTCCTCTGTGTACTGTAAGGAACAATGGTATGGACTGGAGCCAATGACCTCATCGTATGACCCTGTCAATTATAGATACAAATCCTGTTGTTTCTTGTCGCCTGTGTATTAAGACGTAATCGCACTGAGCGGGAGCTAGTGACTTCATCCTATATCAAGGCAAAGAATGCTAATATCACAATTAATGTTGACTCAACGCACCTGTCAAGTAGATCCCTGTGTCTTATTTATGTAGTAGCGTTTCAGATATCAACATTTTTTAGTCAAAAGGGAATCATCAAGTGGATTGATTAGATTGTTGTATAGATTGGGGGGTTGCATTTTACCGGGTTATTAAATATTACCGAAGGACACAGAATAGTCGTGCACTTTTTAACGAAAACTGAGGCAGTTCAGTGTACTGGCCTCATTAAACAAAGAGGCAGGATTAATAACGAAGTGAAAATGGCGTCTTTTGCGGTACACACTCGTTTTTAAAACTCACAACATTGGTTCGATGCCAGCGAGATTTGACCCACCCTTATCTTAATGCTGCAAAAACACTGTTTATGGACTGCGGGAAAAGTAACCTTACCCAAAATATCCGTTGGCGACTGGTAGCCGCAACAAAGTCACGAAGATCAGACCGGGTACCAGCCAGTAGTACAAAGAAAGCAGCCGAAGAGGGTACCAGTTCATGGTGGGGCAGCGGTACAAACCCACCACGTCGTCATATTACAACTTGTCCCGTGGGTCTGCTTGAAAAGAATAAAAACTGTCTCCAAGCATCCAGATTTTGTGAATCAGTAAGAATCGAATCCCGCCGGAAAAAGTGTTCGGACGAACAGTGCAGCACGCGTCCGTTCCCGCCGTAGGATTCGACCACAGCCCTGTTGCACCGGTGCGGAGTAGGTAGGCCTACTCGCGGTGTTGCGTCGGTCCCTCTCCACATGTCATTTTTACTGCCAGTGCAGCGGACTTTAGTCATCGGGCACGCCGGGGTTTTTATGGAGCAGGATTTCTCTCGCGCTATGCGTGTGCGTGCACTTCGGAGGTTTCATGTCGCCGTCCATGCCTTCTGCCGTGCACCGTAAATAACGAGTTGTCGAGTCTTTCAGATTTTTTTCTACTGTTTGCGATTATCATTCTGCGTGCTGATTGGATCACAGTTTGAGTGCTGTGGGCGGGGCCTTTGTGTGTGTCAGCCGACGGCGATGCATGATGGCACGCGTCATGCACCAGTAAGTACCTGGGCTCGCTGTTTATAGTGTTAGTAATAGTCTGAATGACTTCTGAAGTTACTGTGATATTGAGAAGATATTCTGTGACAGACAGGGAGAGGAATTTTCACACTGAGGACTGCCCACACGAAAATCTATTAATGTCAATTTTTTTCATCGGCTGAATGGAAAAATTACAACCAATTTTTAAAAGATAAGGGAAAATTTCAGAAATCTTGTGCATGCAAATGTAAACAAAATAGGCATTTGATTTTGCCAGATAATTTTTCCATCCGAGGTGCCCCTTCTTTTTATTGAGATAAATTGAGAAACTTTATCTCTGTAACATCTCAATGGCTTTTCGTTCCAATAAAACTTACATATTTCCTCGCAGTTTCGTAGTATTTTCCATCAAACTACGGATGAACAGATAAAAGAGGAAATTTTAAAAATTTCTTTCAAATGTCAGACAGCGTCGTTGCAACGACGTTGCCTCAACTTGTGGTTAATGAGCAAGGTGTAAAATGTGGGCGTTTGAACAACGTCATGCGACATATCAACTTCTCGAACAAAGACCAGCTGTCCATTTTTGTTAGAATGTAAGAAAGTTCCTATCAAGGTAACGTGTCTCATTAAGACATTTTAACCATGGCTAAAACTACATATCCCAAACACAATGCAGTGACGCCTCCTTTCTCTAGCAGAAGTTTCTACTTTTGATCACATGTTGCAGTATATTATGTGTAGACGACAGATCAATTGTAATGTCCTGGTTTGGTGTACTTAGCCAAGATACTTAATTGACATTTTTCCCTCTGTGGGAAACCACACCTAGTGATAATGCACCATAAAGGCGACACCCCGATATCCGTGTCCAATTCCCGGTCTGTGTCAGTTAGGAATCAAGGCCGGTCTTGCGGCTGGAATGTTTTGCTCTAACTCGAAAAAGGTGGGCACCGAACCAGCCCAAGTTCAGTGTCACATTGACTCATCCTGTTTCTATGATGCTGCACCCGCCGACTGTGTGTATTTACAGTGCCGTGCTGGTGTTCCGTAATAAAAGCGGAAACCGTTGAAGCTGCGATCAGTGGTAGAGCCAGGAAATGTGGCTTGAATATTTTGAAATTCGACATCACTATTTCTTCATTAACTTTACCTGAAAAAAAGTAAAAAGAATAAAGACATTTGTAGTCAACGGTAAATTTTGACTTTTATGGTGCAAAATCAGAAAATAAAAGCCGGGAAATTCCAGATTTTCGTAATGAATGAACCTCCCTTACCCCATAAATATGAACATGCCTTTTCTGAAAAGAAATATAAAATATGTACCCATAAGGCTTTGTCTCAGACATATCTTGCAGTGTTTTAACTTGCAGTTGGACCCGTAGTTCATTTTAGAAAAAAGAATTAAAAAGTATTTAATAAAAAAACTAAAAGCTGCTCTCCAACTTCTTGAATTCTAGTCCTTACAACTTAAACTGCCTCTGCGGGCATTTTTCCATTTCGTCTCTTGGTATTGTGATCAATCATTATGTCACCTTTTAATCTTCCCCTCTCGTTCCATTTTACTTATGCAACATCGCGCAGTGAAGTCACTAAATTGAGATCACGAGACCTTTGCTATCTTTAGCATCTCTTTGTGTTTGTCTTTATGTTTGTCAAGCATCTTGTGAAGACAAGCGCCATAAAAAAGGTCAGGGCTACAGTTTCGTCGAACATTTCAGTCCAATCTTAAAACAAGGAATAATTTAGGACATCGTCAATTTTCATCTGATCCGTTTAAGACTATTACCACGCCTCTGTCCTAGTAAGCAAATACTTAACAAATTGCCAGGGACGGGCCAGGCCGGAGATTTCTTAATGTCTCATTTTTTCCGACACACGGAAACGATAATGAATACATTACATGGCTTATAGCATATTTTGTTTACTATACACAGAAGAAAACTTTACTTTACTTTACTATAAGTCTTCATTTTTATTTTCTCCACTTTTTGCATTTCTGATTTTGTTTTTTTTTTGTCTCAGAGCGGGGGGGGGTCGACTTCTCAAACACACCCCCCCCCGGATCTGCGCTGCTATTGGTAAAGAACTCGATTCCACATCCGTAAAGTCAGCGCAACATCACACGGAAGGAAAGCATCTGTTACCACCAAGCCCTCTCGTTAATAAAAAAAAATGGTAGTTAACGCGCGCCAAAGTCGGCATCAACATTTTGCAATAAGCACGACAAATGCTGCCATTGTTTGCCCAAACCCAAAACCGACAGCCGTTCCATTCCACCAATCACAAACACAGTCTGCGCTGTTCCTGGAGCTGACAAACGGTATGATTTGCCCGCCACTAGAAGTGTTTACTGGTTTCAAGTTGGCCATATTTCTCGTTTGTTGGCTGAGCCAAAATGCGAAGTCTGGCGTTACCGTTCATGGTTAGGTCAGCGGTTATCGTCTTGTATTATGTTTGTCTGCAAATGATACAGAGGATTTCTTGAAGCACGGTTTCTGCATGACAGTGTTTTCAAATTTCGATTCCCCCCCCCAAAAAAATGGGTCAACAAATATAATTAAAATTGCCCTTTCAGTTCTTTTAACTTGTTTTTTCCCACCTGAATTTAACGAGCGTACCGATATCTACTAAGGTCGATCTCCTACGTAATGCATTAAAAGTGAAGTAACATTTTCACACCAGAAACTGGGCTAGGGTGCTTGCATGAAAGAAAACTCGAACTTAAAACAAAATGATTAATTTGAATGGCCCCTAAATTTGTATTTTTTAGGTCAGAGGAAGATTCCAGTAATGTTCCCCACATGGGTAACATCAAAGTAAACGTTTGATAAAGAATTGATTTTTCCCCTATAGAGTAGACACGTTGTAATTCGGAATCACAATTTTGCCGTTTGCACGATGCACCAACACAACACAAAACCTGCAATGTACTTCCAAAAGCCGCAAAGAGGATAAAAACCATGAAGAATAACACTCTGATTGTGGTTTCCTCACAGGATTTTAATTTGCTCTTCGTGCGGACGCGCTCTTACCGTCCTAAGCAGGAATCCAACACGGGTTCTAAACGGATTCAGCACATTAGTAAATTCATTACTTGTCAGAATCGGCCAATCTCTGTGCGGAACCGCGGAGTGAACTCTACGCTCCTTCGACTTGTTTTTGATCCGACCCATCATCATTTGATTAAAATATGGTCATTGAGTTATCTTATTGCACATAAACACAACAATTTCAATTTCCCAGACTAAAGACACTGTTGCTGTACCTCGTTATTCGGGGCAAGCTTCCGCATAGCGACCGCCATCTCTGGAATGGACTGGTTCCTCTGTGCCTCTTCTCATCCATTATAAACATTGTATTAGTGCAAGGCGTCTCTTATACAACTAAGGAAAAGCTTGCCCCGAATCACGAGGTATAACAACAGTATCTTTATTATGGAGAATTCAAATTTCATGTGAAGTTAAAAGAACGCAGTGTACCAGTTTTCCTTCAAAATTAACTCGCAAATGGCTTGTTGCCTCACGTCAACATTGGACTCATCGTCATTTCACTATAGGCGAAAACGATGGTGTGAAAGACCCTATAGATTGTGCTTCGCTGCAGTGTTGTTGGGATCGAAGCTGCTGGCTTTGGGTTGCTGCCAGCCACTTAATTTCACGTTAATAAGGGAAGATCATGGTAATCCACGCCGGAAACAGAGCTACAACGCAGGACTTCGTTTCATTGTCAAATATTTTCACATGTACCCACGGCATGACGTGAATTCCGGATGTTACAAATGACATCGGAGTGACATTATCACGGGCGAAGGCTCCTAATTTCATGAATATAGTGCACGAAACGTATGAAAACAGTTGTTGGGATCTCTGCTGGCTTAAACTCACCTAACCCCAACTAGCCGCCCCCCAAATAAAATTCTGAACCACCCCCTTCAAGAAAGCTACTATCTTATCGAGCAAGATCTTGTGAGATTATATAATTAAGTTTAATTTATATTTCTGCATTATACTTAACTGCATGTTTTTTTCACAAAAACCTAACTATCGGGTGTCCAGAAGTTCTTAAATGGAACCTGTTCTTGAGTTTTCCACTTAGTCTCGACACGGGTCTCATTCTGCCAGACAACTGAGAGAGCATCGGTCGTGCATGGCCTTAAGTGGCAGTTAGCTAGTGTGTCTGCGCGAGA